TTTTTGTTTTTTTGTGTGTTTTTTCTTTTAAATCCCCAAGTTAGATTTCTGTATAGACTTGAATAGCATTCTTCTGATAACTGTTAACCCTTGGGAATATTTGCTATTTTTCTTGTGGTCCTCAATCTATGAATTGCATTATAGTTAAAACCAGTTTTCCTTTTTGTTTTTAGCGAAACCTTGAAAGCCATTTATTGGCCCCTGCTGAGATTCCAGGCCAGCCTGTCCCTAAGAATATCCTACAGGTATGTTACAGTCTTACACTGAACCCCTAGAGTCCTAGTCCCCTGCCTGGTTTTGTGGACCAAGCTTGGACCATAGAGAATGATCCATGTTGCCTAGCAGTCAAGGATGTGGTATTGCTGCCCGAGATACTAGGTAAATGCTACAGCTAATCTCAGTAGGGGTGGAGTAGAATAGGATGGCTTTAGAAGATGACAAAGCCAGTTCTTGACTTCTGGTTTGCAAGTTTGCAATTTCTGTGAAACTTAAGTACCTAATCTGTCTTTGTAGCTCTAATTTGAATGACCAGAGAAATGTGTATGTACACATGCCATATCCTTCAGTGAAACATAAGGGAGAGTCATCATCTATTCCAAAAATGAATTCATATTCTAAAGCTTTGGACTAGAAGGAAGAGTTAGGTTTGTTCATACAGATCTGATATTTCTGCCTATAGGAACTTCTAGGTCAAACAGTTCAGAGACCTCCTTCTTCCAACCTTCTCAGCGGCCTTATGGGGAACTTGGAGCCTCCTGCATCTTTACTGGGCCAAAGAGCACCCTCTCCTCCCATGTCACAGGTGTTTCAAACTCGAGCAGCTTCAGCAGACTATCTTCGTCCAAGGGTACCATCACCAATTGGTAACTAGTTCTTTTTCGTTGTTGGGGATTGAACTCGGGGCCTCATGCCTGCCAGCTGAGCACTCTGCAGTTGATCTGGGCTCCTAACCCAGTACCTACTCTTAAGCATCATGTCTGTCTTCCCTTCACATACATGTAGGATATACTTGTTCCCTAGACCTGGCAATCTTTTTACAGAGTTGTACAATAAATGTATAAATGTGCTATAATAATTTCCAGGGAGAATGTGCAATCTAGGTGGAAGATAGTTTATTACCCAGCTGCCCTTTTAGGTAAATATATTCATGGCAAAGTTTTTCTTTGTGTTGCTCTTTAGCTTTCTTCGTTATTTGGAGAATTAAGCCCCAAGAAGTGAATTTGGCTTCCTATGTCTTAATACAGAACTTGAGGAGAGCCAGAAATGATGGCACACACCTGTACATAGTAAATTTGAGGCTACATAGGGAGACCCTGTCAAGGAAAACTAATTCTCTGTCAGGCAGTTGAAGTTGGTAAATAATCAACTGTCAAATCCTGAGTTTAATTCAGAATGTGACTGAAAGAAGCACTTACAGAAAGCTATCCTAGTGTTTCTGCCATTGACCCATTGGAAGTTGCTGGCTTCTTGCCTCTGCCAATCATACCTTGACATCTGTCCAGAGTCACTGACATAGGGTTCTATGGGAAGAGTCTGGAGCTAGACAGATGAGCTGTTAAGAGTGCATACTGCTCTGCAGAGAGCCCAAGTTCTGTTCCCAGCCCCCAAGTTGAGCAGTTAACAACTGCCATTTCCAAGGAATCCGTTGGCCTCTTTGGGCTTCCAAGAGTACTGCACTGATAGTACACAAACCTACAGACACAAAAAGCACCTGTCTCTACTTTGGTACCAGCTGCCACAGTGAGTGTGGCCATATTGCTGGATAGAAATGTACTAGAGCTAGGCATGGTGGCGCACACCTTTAATCCTAGGACTGGAGAGGCAGAGGCAGGTGGATCTCTAGTGAGATTAAGGCCAGCCTGGTCCACGTAGTGAGTTCCAGGCCAACTGGAGCTACAGTGAGACCCTGGTAACTTAGCTTTCCAACTCTGAAAAGGACAAAGGTGACCTTCGTGGGAAAGATGGCTACACCAAAAGTGTTCATTCCATTACAAGGTCTGATTAAGGTCCACACTGAGAGGAGAGAGAAAAAAGAACATCTTATCAAGCCAGGGAAGCAGTGTTTACCAGAAGAGATGGTGTTTAACAAGAAGCAGCATACTGTAGTGATTATGCTGCCCTGGTGCCCTAACACTTAACATTCATTGATTCTGTAACTTTCCTGGCAGGTTTCACATCAGGACCCCAGCAGCTACTTGGAGATCCATTCCAAGGCATTCGCAAGCCCATGAGCCCTGTCACAGCCCAGGTCAGGCTGAGCGCTTTCTCAGACCCAATCTATTGCTTGCTTTTTCGCCCTTATCATTGCTTGTGGGATGGAGAATTAAATTGCCACAATGCTTGGTAGCAATTTTGCAGCAATAGATCTATATGGGTTGTTTTGCAATGGTATTATAGTTCAAGTTTAGTACAGGCTAGAAAATTGCTGAGTGATTTAAGTTTTAAAAATACCATTCAGTGGATGGCAGCATAACTTAGGTATTTGCAGCATCTAATTTTTCTCAGCCACTGCTTAAGCCATAAGACCTTTGTAGAAAAATGCATTGACTAGGGGCTGGAGATGGCTCAGCAATTAACAGCACTGGCTGCTTTTGCAGTGGATCCAGGTTAGGCTCCCAGCACTCACATGGCAGCTAACTGTAATTCCAGTTCCAGGGGATCTGACCACCCTCTTCTGGCCTCCGAAAGCATTGCATGCATGGGTGCGCTTACTTACATGCAGGCAAACCACTTAAACAGAATTCATTGACGTCCTCATTCATCCACTGATCATTCCCTGATACTTCTGTTCAGCAGATGAGCCAGCTAGAGTTGCAGCAGGCAGCTTTGGAGGGGCTGGCCCTACCACATGACCTTGCAGTACAGGCAGCAAACTTCTATCAGCCTGGTTTTGGCAAACAACAAATGGACAGAACCAGAGATGGGTTCAGAAACAGGTAAATGATCAGTCCTACTTGTGCATATTTGGGTACTAATTATTAAATCAATTATTCACAATATAATTCCGTACATCATCTGATATGGTATAGGATGGGAATTCATCCAACTCCAGATGTTACCAGTAAAGGAAATATAGTTGGATCCTACAGAGACATCACATTTTTATTCTGTATTGTTTTTTAAATATATATATATCTATTTTTTTTTATTTTTTTGTGCTCTGCGTGCACTCCGCCTGCATGCCTATTTTTCTGTTTTTATTTTATGTGTATAAGTATATTGCCTGCATGTAGGTAGGTGCACCTGGTGTTGTGCAATACCCGCAGAGGTCAGAAGAGGGCATCAGATCCCCTGGAACTGGAGTTATAGATGGTTGTTAGCTGCCATGTGGGTGCTGGGAATAGAGCCTGGGTCCTCTGCAAGACCAGCCAGTGGTCTTAACCACTGAGCCATCTCTCCAGTCCCCCTATATAGTTTGCTTTATACTCTTAATTTATAAATTACTTTTTAGGGGTTCAGTTTGCTAAATAGTCATATGGAAGAGATACTGCCTCTTAGCTTGACCTTAACAATGATTTTTTTTTTTTTTCGGTCTTTTTGAGACAGGGTCTCCCTGTAGCCCCAGCTGGCCTGGAACTCACAGAGATCTGCCTGCCTCTGCCTCCCAAGTGCTGGGACTACAGGCGTGAGCCACCATTCCAAGCTTTACTTTGCTTTTTAACTAGTTGCTACAGGTAGTAAAATGAACTGTAAATTTGGAGAATGGAAATGGAATTAGCAGTGCTGTTCTTTTTATTTTATGTGTATGAGTGTTTTGTGTGCATGTATGTAAGTGCACCATGTGCATGCTGTGCCTGCGGAGTTCAGAAGAGTTTGTCAGATCCCCTGGAACTAGAGTTATGGAACAACGTTACCCACAATGTGGGTGCTGACAACTGAACCTGGGTCCTCTGTCAGAGCAGCCAGTGCTTTTAACCGCTAAGCCATCTCCACAGACCCATGTGTGCTATTCTTTTTTAAACTGCAAAACAAAACACAGAAAACTGCATATAGCACATCTGGCTCTTGTAACAAGCTCCTCTGTTAATTACAGAGGACCCTGTACCCTAATGGCAATTTTATCACTTTTTCTCCCTCAATAGTGACCATTGGCTAACCTTTCAAAGTAATCATTACCTTAATTTTTTTTAGTTTTATCACCAAAATGTGCATCTCTGAACACCTAACAGTTTAGTCCTGTTCGTATTACCTTGTTAAAGAAGTTGGTTTTGGTTTTGGCTTTAGTTTTTTTTGTCTTTTTTGAAACAGGGTCTCCCTGTAGCTCCAGCTGAGTTGGAACTCACTGTGTAGACCAGGCTGGCCTCTGCTTCCCCAGTACTGGGATTAAAGGCGTGTGCCACCACATCTAGCTAAGAAGTATTTCTTTTGATGTAATGTCTTTCTTTCTTTTTTTTTTTTTTTTTTTTTTTTTTTTTTTTTGGTTGAGAGATGAGGTCTCCCTGTAGCCCCAGCTGGCCTGCAACTCACTATGTAGACCAGGCTGGCCTTGAACTCACAGAGATCCACCTGCCCTCTGCCTCCTGAGTGCTGGGACTAAAGGTGTTCTTAAAGTTACCTATCAGTGCTTTAGTGTTTTGCTTCAGCTGGTTTTGTTTGTATAACACTTTGAGACACCATTGTGATCAGGAAATGCCTGGCATGAGTGCATTTTATCTGTGGCATCCCTCAGCCTACTCAGCCAGGTTGGAGCCCTAGAAGGGTCCATCTGCTGAGCTCCTCTCCTGTTCTCCTCTAACATAATGTGGTTACCTAATCCGCATTGTATGATCTGTGACTTTCAACTCACTTTATAGCTAAACAGAATTCACTTTTGCACTAGCCTTCGAGATAGATGGGGATAAATAACTACATTTTGTAGGTGCAAAACTTAGGTTTTTAAATTGTTCCTCAAAACTGGCAAAGAAGCTCATGATAGATCAGTGTCAGCCCTCAGATGCTGTTCCCTGAACATCCGTGTGCAGTGGTGCCCCCAACAGACGTGCCTTTCCCTTAGTTTGCTCTTTATTATTTTGTTTTTTGAGACATGGTTTCCCTGTAGCTGGCCTGGAACTCTGCTGTGTAGACCACCTGCCTCTACCTCATGAGTGCTGGGATTAAAGGCTTGCACCATGAATCCAGACTTAATTTGCTCTTTAAAAAAAATTGTATTTACTGCCAGGAGTGATGACTCATGCCTTTAATCTCAGCACTTGGGAGTCAGAGACAGGCAGGTCTCTGTGAGTTCCAGGCCAGCCTGGTCTTACATAGTGAGTTCCAAGCCAGCTGAGACTACAGGGAGACCCTGTCTCAAAAAGACTCCCCCCCCCCCAAAAAAAAAAAAAAGAAAAAAAATTACATTCACTGTCTTTTGCATGGTCTTTTTTTTGGGGGGGGGGGTCCTGTTTCCCTGCTTTCACCCTGCAACACAAGAGTACAACTTCAATAGACAAGAGACTTCATCTGCTTTGTTCACTGCTATTATCTCCAGCACCTCCAACCATGTCTAACACATAAATGTTCAAATGTACTGTGAAAGGAAGAAGTGATAAATCATAACTCCTAGGTTTGGGAGTTTTAGAAGTCAAGAGTTAAGTGGTTTGGAGCTGACATTGATAATTGGTTTGTTCACAGGCAACAGCGAGTGTCAAAGTCACCAGCACCCATGCACCGAGGGAATTCCTCTTCCCCAGCTCCTGCTGCCTCCATCACAAGCATGGTCAGTGACCTTTAGTGGCTAAGATTTCACCACTGGGTTATGTCTATGTTCCAGAGTCTCCCTCAGGGTCCTTGAATACATTCCACAAGATATTGACCTGCCTGTTTGTTAGGTTATCTCCTAACCTGGTATCATTGAAGTCCATTCCTATGTTGAGGGAATTATGTTCTAGTGGACAAATGAACATGGGCCAGGGCACAGGAAGACAGTATTTAAACAAATGGCTATTGTGGGGAGGTTAGACAAAGGTGAGAGAGGTAACTGGTCAGATCATAGGGAGTCCAGTGAACATTGGGGAACCCACAGATTGTTCAGTTCTGCTGTGTGAACTAAGAGTGGGACAAACAGTTTTGTTTATTTGTGGTGACAAGTTTAGTTTTACAATTGGCCCTTTTTTTCCTCTTTTTTCATACAGACTTCTATCATCCAAATAAATGGGGGGGGCAGCTATTCTGTGCTTCAGGACCTCACCTGGGTCTCTGCACTAAACACTTTAAAGGCAAGATCTGGAAGGGGATTTTCTGTTCTTAAGTTAGGCCCTGCCTGACTCCTGCCATTAAAGATTTGGAATTGTGGCCAGGCATGGTGATGCATGCCTTTAGCCCCAGCACTTGGACAGAAGCAGGTGGATCTATGTGAGTTCAAGGCCAGCCTGGTCTACATAGTGAGTTCCAGGCCAGGTGGGGCTACGGGAGACCCTATTTCAAAAAAAGGCACATGCATAATAAAATTAAAATATAAGTAAACAATAGAAATGGGAACAAAAGACCATCAGTGATAAATCCTAGTCACTAAGGAAACAAGATAACTGAATTCTCTTGAGAAAATTTAAGGGAGATTAGGGGTGTGGGATAGCTTAGGAGTCCAGCTTGTCTCTGAAACACCCTTTTCCAGGTGGAAGGGTGAGCTGTGTAGCTCCAGCAGTGCTCTTCCCCTCTTCTCAAGTCTCATCCCAGGTTGGGGAAATGTGAGGACAGAGATAGACCCATTGTCACAGGGTTGTGAGCAAGCGGTGATGCTCTTGGGACATTGCCTATTCACCCCTTTCTGTTTTCTTCCAGTAGCTACAAACCAGAACATTAGAGTTGGCCTCTCTAACCATGTAGGTTAAATGGGTAATCTTGACCTTGTTGAGTAGCTTGGCCAGTGAAGCCTGGCTTGAGAGCTGGGGGTACAGTCCAGTGTGGTAGAGTGCTTCCAAGCAAGGCCCTGGGGTAATCCCCAATATCAAAAGACAAAAAAAAAAAAAAAAGCTTGGTTTGTTATTAGGGAAAGGCACTTAGATCACTGATTCTAATTCTTTTTCTCTACAGCTTTCTCCTTCCTTCACCCCTACCTCAGTGATTCGGAAGATGTACGAAAGCAAAGAAAAAAGCAAGGAGGAGCCAACATCTGGAAAAGTGGTTCCTAGTGATGGTAAAGAGGACACTCAGAAGGCCAGTGAAGGTACTGCTCAACCAATGTGTGATAGCGTAGGCCTGTGTCAGTGAAAAGGTCGTATAAGCTCAGTCAAACTTGGTTACTCAAAATTCTGGCTAGCTGGAGTGGTACAAGTGCCAATTTAAAAGAATGAGGTCTAGCTTAGGATTCTTATTTAATGTTCTAAGTTAAATAACTATATATTTATTGGGCATATTAATACAGTTCAATTTTTATTTGGGATTTTTTTTTTATTTTATGTGTATGGTATGAGTGTTCTGCTTGCATATATGTAAGTGCACCCATGTCATGTAGTGCCCATGGATGTCAGAAGAGGGTGTTGGATCCCCTGGGGCTGGAGTTATGGATGACTGTGATCTGCCATGTGGGTGTTGGGAACCGGACCCAGGTCCTCTGTAAAAGCAGCCAGTGCTTTTAACTGCTGAGTCATCTTTCCAGTGCCACCCCTCTTTCTTTAAGAAAGTATCACTGTGTAGCCCCAACCTTAAAGTTCTCTGTAACCACACCCAGCTTTGTTACTTCTGAAAGGTTCTCTAGATTTGTGTCTAATTAAATCTGTGCAACAAGTAAAGCATATAGGTTTAAGAGCCTTTCCGAAGTACACAGAAACGTACACATCTCAGGAGTTGAATAGTAGGGATTATATAGGACATGGTAATACAGCTTCTAGTATGGGATAGAGAATTAGACTCAGAGCATTCTGCCTGTGTTTGAGAAAACTTGGGGGAAGCAGGGTGGACAAAACAGAAATCCTGCACACACCTTTAATCCCAGAACTTGGGAGGCAAAGGCAGGTGGATCTTTGTGAGATCAAGGCTAGCCTGGTCTACATAGCAAGTTCCAGGACAGTTGCGGTTACATACAGACCCTGTCTCAAAAATAATTTTTTTCCAAAAAAGGAAATCTGGAGCTGGAGAGATGGCTCAGTGGTTAAGAGCACTGGCTGCCCTTGCAGAGGACCTGAGTTCAGTTTTCAGCACCCACATGACAGCTAACAACCATCCTTAACTCCAGTTCCAGGGAATTTGACACCTCCACGGGCATTGCATGACACAGGTGCACTTACATAACATGCAGGCAATATACTCATACACATAAAAATTTTAAAAAATCCTATTGGTCTTAAACAGATGTGGCATTCATTTGTAACCTCAAAGCCTTTGGGTTTTTTGATGTGTTTCAAAAATCCTTTGTGCCTTGGAGGTGTAGCTTAGTGATACAGATCACTCCCTCAGCCTGTGGAAAAGCCATGGATTCACTTTCTTAACACTCCCAAAGAGGAAAAGGGGGAAAGAAATCTGTTGTTCCAGTAAGGAACTGAAGACCTTAAAACTTGGCATCTAGTCCCAGCTTAAGCCCTAACTACTCGTGACCTTGACTCACACTCATCTTCTGGACTTTGGAATTACAGGTGTGCATCTCTGTGCCTATATTTAAGGCAAATGATCATCCATGTAGTCCTCTTAAACTGGCTAAAGGGTATCAAATAAATATTGTGAGCTTTTTAAGAAATAAAATTTGCTGGACCATTGGGGAAGATAAAATATTTGAGAAAAGCTTAAAAACACCATAATTTTCTCCGGATTCTTACAGAGAACCTGCTGTCATCTAATTCCATACCCAGTACGAATCGAGACTCTTCTCCCACAACAAATCCCAAACTTCCGACATTGCAGCGGTCTTCGTGCTCCACCCCACTGTCCCAGACCAACCGTTATACCAAAGAACAAGATTATCGACCTAAAGCAGCTGGGAGGAAAACACCCACCTTGGCATCCCCCGTGCCAGGAACACCTTTTCTCCGCTCTGCCCACCAAGTTCCCCTCGTTCCCCATGTTCCTATTGTTCGGCCTGCTCACCAGCTTCACCCAGGGTTAGTCCAGAGGATGCTAGCCCAGGGGGTACATCCACAGCATCTTCCAAGTTTGCTCCAAGCTGGTGAGTTTCTAACCAGACATGGGTATTACTTGGTGGACCTAATATAACAATTTCTACTTAATGTTGTGTGTGCTATGGGAGAGACCTTACTGGATTCTTATACCTAACTGGTGGCAGTGGGTACAGTCCATTCCCATACCCATGTCCATTAACACATTAGGAAACCTGACTTCAGCATTCTTTATTTTTAATCATTATGACTCTGTGTGGTGTGTGCATACAGGTACATGCATCCCAGCACATGTGTACAGGTCAGAGGACAACTTTGTGGAGTCAGTTCTCTCTACCTTTATGTGGGTTCTAGGGATTCAGCCTCAGGTCATCAGTCTGATACAGCAAGTGCCTTACCTGCTGAGCTATCTCATCAGCCCACATTCTTCATTTTTAATAAATTTCAGAATCAGCAAAAATGTACAGGCAAACCTGAAATTTTCTAAGTACACTAAGATGCTTCTCGGTGCTGGAGAGATGGTTCAGTGGTTAAGCCCAGATGGCAGCTAACAACCATATGTAACTCCAGTTCCAGGGGATCTGACACCCTCTCTGGCCCCCTCAGGGCATTGTACATGTGGTACATTTAACATAAATGCACGGTGCTGGAGAGATGGTTCAGTGGTTAAGCCCAGATGGCAGCTAACAACCATATGTAACTCCAGTTCCAGGGGATCTGACACCCTCTCTGGCCTCCTCAGGGCATTGTACATGTGGTACACTTAACATAAATGCAGGCAAAATACACACATAATAGTTTCGTTCTTTTTTTTTAATTCTCAGAAGTGTCTTCTTTCTCCCCACCAGGTATGCTTCCTCCTGGTATGGACCTGACTCATTTACAGGGAATATCTGGCCCAATTCTGGGACAGCCTTTGTACCCTTTTCCTGCTGCTAGTCACCCTCTCCTAAACCCTCGTCCTGGGACACCTCTGCATCTGGCAGTGATGCAGCAACAGCTGCAACGGTCAGGTAAGGTCCGGGAATGGGCCAGCTTGAGCTGGGCTGAGTACACTGAAGTTTTTAGGGCATTTCCAGTGGAGGGCAACTGTCACTGACCCTGCATTCCTTAGCTTGTCCTAACTAGAGGATCAGGTGAACTGATCCCTGGTATTTGGGGTTATTGTTCCTACGTAGACAGCCAGACGTCAAGCATTTGTCCTTCACCTCTTGTGAGAAGGACAAGAATCTTGCCAGAGAAAGGGTCATGTCAGTCTGGGGCTTTCTACACTGATGGGTTTCAAACAGCTTAGCTTTCCTGAATAATGTCATCTGGCATTTCACAGCTTTCTAGGGAGCCCCAGGTTAGTTAAGCCTTCTCATACATATTTTTTCCCTCTAAAGCTAACAAGGAAACTATTCTCAGCAAAGCAATTCAGAAAAATATAGTCAGTGACAGACGACCACACGAGAGGACTCAAGGGCCCTCTGCTGGGCTTCTCTAGTTTTGTGGAGCGTTTGAGTGAAGCAAGGCCTAGATAGAACTACTGCTCCTCATGCTCTGAATGACGACTCTTCTCATCTCCATAGTTGTGCATCCTCCAGGCTCGGGTTCCCAGGCAGCAGCTGTCAACGTTCAGACTCAGAATGTGCCCAGCCGGTCAGGCCTGCCCCACATGCACTCACAGCTGGAGCGTCGCCCCAGCCAACGAAGCAGCTCCCCAGTGGGCCTTGCCAAATGGTTTGGCTCAGATGTGCTGCAGCAGCCCCTGCCCTCCATGCCCACCAAAGTCATCAGTGTAGATGAACTGGAATACCGACAGTGAGTAGGACAGGCAGGCTGCATGGTCAGGATTCTACTTCCCCATCTTTGTTCATGAGCTTTTACTTTGGAGCACGTTGTATAAAGCTGTTAGGGGACCCACATGATCTACACTATGATGTTAACCAATCGAGTGGAACCTACGTGGTCTGAATACAGGATACACAATGTTGTTGATCCTGGAAGGTCTGTCTGTCTTTTATAAAATATGTGAATGAAGTGTTGGTGTCTTCACCAAGAGGTGGCACCTAAGGGTTCTGAGGAAATAAAATGTATAAACCCTTATGTACAGATCTGTGTATAAACTTTTGTACATACATATAGGATAGCTCTTTTTGAACTCTACAGCTGTACATAAAGTAGCTATTAGTTAAGCCTGTGTCAACTGTTTGGATTTTTCACTTGTACATTTGGGACTTTTTTCTTTTGGTTTATTAAAGTTGCATATGCCACGTGTGTGAATGAAGTGACTGGTGGTGTTTATTTTCTCTCTGAATCTTGTTTCTGATAGTCAACATATAATAAGCCCAGTAGATTCCTTTAGAGCAACGACACCAGGTTCCAGTTTTTCTTTCAAATTTTAGTCCTAACTTGGAAAGTCCTGGACATTTCTTGAACCTAAAGCACCCATGGTTTAGGTTGGGGAATCCCTCTAAGCAGCCCCATGGCTAACACCAGGGGATCAATTTGCAGTTTTCAAAATTGAACTGATTTTCATCTGGCCAGTTTATCAGGAACTTGGGTATATGGTAGTTCTCCAATATTTACTGGCCCATCCTATTTATCCAGCTTAACCCATCAATTTCTTAGAAAACTTTCCTGGACTCTGCCTGGGTTAACTCCTTATATAGTGTGTCTCATCTTTCAGCTCACAATTTTAACTTAAAACCTGAAGTATTACATAGCACTACAGGAACATTGTTCTATCAGGACAGTGTAGGGTCTTGAATGACCCTTCTCCATTTCACTGGAATTTGACTGCAAGGTTGTGAAGTAGCCTGTACCTCCCAAGTTTTAAATCTTAGGGATGTTGACTTGAATTGCCCACCTTACTCTACTTCAGGGGACACAAGAGGTCACACCTCTAACAAAACTTCAGTTTGTGGATAAAGCATGAGATCAGTCTCTCCAATACATTCAAACTGATCAGCTCTCCCCATCCTGAACAATACCATTGGTTCTCAGTGATAATTCAGAAATGGATGCTTTGTATGGACTCTTTGGCAAATGCTGTCTTGTATCTGTCACAAATGGAAGTGGGAACGTAGTTCCAGGTGTCAGTGAGGAACCCTAATGCATTTTTCCTGTGTCCCATTCAGTCACTCTTTGTTCTGAAGGTGGAAGGTGAAGATTGGGTTGAAGCTGCCAATGGAGGCTTCCTTACAGGCTCCCCACTGGTGGAACAGATAGGAGCTGAAGAGCAAAGTCACTACCTAGTGACTGGCAAGATGAAGCACAAGGGGAACAAAGAATTATTAAGTGCCAATAGCCTTTCATACAACAATATTAACTGAAGGGTGGAACCAGGATCAGGAAGTTCAGGTCAGCAGTGGGAGGTTTGAGGCCAGCTTTGGCTGAGACCTTTCCTCAAATAAATAGTCTTCCAGGAGGTAAAAGCCTTATATAAAGGCAGGAAGGAATGCTTCAGCCAAGAAGAGATCTTTGAGGTGACTCTGGTGGCTCACGTCGGTACTCCAAGCACTCTGAGTACAGGATTGCCTGGAAGTTATTAGGAATCAGGAGTGGGGCTAGCCAATCCTGCAGCTCTTGAATGCCAAGTTGCACAAAGATGAGCACTAACCCCGAGGACAGATAAATGAGAACTAAAGATAAATTTCCTGGAGGAAACACAGGTTCTTCAAGTCCCTTTACCAACAAGATTCTACCCAATTTATGACACACAAACTAACTTGACAGTTCAGAAACAGCTTCCCAAAAAAGTAAAGGTGGTCTGGCCCCCTTTACATCCTCTGGATGTGATACTCAGCTTCAGACTACAGCAGACATTTCGTTTGTGCTGGGAGCCCAGCAAAGCCAACAAGCTCCAGTGAATACATGAGTGGACAGAAAGAACCTAGTTTCCTCAATGACCCGATGAAGTCATCTGAGCTCCAGACAGCTGAAAATTCCTTCCACTTCAGCCATTAAGTTAGTACTCTTTGAGATGCAGCTGAAACATTCTAATTAACAATGGTGCTGAATTGTGGGTCTGCTTAATTGTACTAAGGAAGTCAAGAAAATGATGCAACAAAATAGGAAATTTAACAAACCCCGTGTGACTCACGCCACCAGTTTTCACAGAGCTCAGGAGAAAGGCACCTCTCCAGCAGCCTGAGGCAAACAAGACAATTTAGCCAGAGACCCTATTTGCTTTGGGTTATGCATACTTCCCTCCTGTAACATACTGTAATTGTATTTGGCAGCCTAATTTCTTCACCTGCATGTACTATCTCCAAACAATGCACCTAGCAACCTAAGAACCCCCTTAAGCCCCACCTGCATCGGGCTACACATATTCTCCTCTCTGAACAGATTTCTCTGCCCCTAGGATCAAATCTGGACAGTTTCTATTCAAGTGTATTCCCAATGTACACAGTTATGAAAAACAGAAGGGCTGATCTGCACTGAGTGGTTATGGATACATGTGCAAGGCACAAACCGTCTTCCAAGTGAATTTTTTTTTTTTTTTTTTGGTTTTTCTGAGACAGGGTCTCCCTGTAGCCCCAGCTGTCCTGGAACTCACTATGTAGACCAGGCTGGCCTTGAACTCACAGAGATCTGCCTGCGTCTGCCTCCTGAGTGCTAGGATTAAAGGTGTGCACCACCACACCCAGCCCAAGTGAAGTTTTAGGGACAATCCTCTATCATCTTACGCCTATGCTTAATTGAGTGTGCTTACGATTAACATCAGATGCATCCTGGGAAGGGACATGTGCAATAGGAAAATGAATACACAACCTAATATATCAATCAAAATAGGGACTCACACAAACTACACCCTCAAAATAACATTACCTTGTTTATTTTGTTAACTGTATGAGTTCTTATTTTCAATCCTTTGGCCAAGAACCTAGAAACACCTGGCTCAAACCCCAACTATTGCTAGTCTTATTTCCAGCCAGCATTCCTGACACAAACTGTATCCTCCAAGAACTGCCAAGTCTTAGTCCGAGAAGGGAAAAGGTAAATTAATGCCTTTGGGGGGGGATGGGGGGTGGCAGCTGCACCTCATGAAGTCAAGGCTGTCCTTGAACAATGTAGGTAGTCAAGTCTCACCTCAAACTCCTATCCTCCTAACCTTCCAAATACTGGGATTAAAGTCCTGTACCACATTAGCAATGCTTTTCCCTCGAGGACTGCAGGGTAGCAATCTGGAAGAAGGTGATGAATGCTGAACTCAAGGCCTAGTCACACACATCTTGAAGCCTTGCACAGGACTTCAGCCACCTTTCCTCAGCATTCCAAAACTGCAAAATGCTTAAGCAGAGTGAATTCCAGCCTGAGGATTTCCAAAACTCCCAACAGGTTTTCCCTGGAGAACAAATCTAGCTTCAGCAATCCCACAGCTCTAAAAGTCATGTTTCCTTGTAGCTAGGCTAGGCTCTAAATCACAGCTGCTTATCAATGATCCAGAGACAGACAAGAATCTATATTCTGAAAAGCAACTAGCATCTGAGGAGACTTGGGGTCTGGGGACAGCACTAAACCAATAAAGAAACAGGCAGCTCTAGGGTGACAGGACAAGCTGAGCAAAGGCTATGTAGACACTGCCACATCTTCCTCCCTGACAGCCTAAAAGCTCTACCTCACCTCCTTTGAGCATAAGAAGCAAGTTTTATCTTCCTGCAAGCCTGCTCCCCATCCTTGTTTTCCTCAAAGCCTTTTTTTTTTTTTTAATCTTGAGTGTTTTGCCTACATGTTAAATGCACTCAAGTCATGCAAAGCCTGCAGAGGCCAGAAGACAGGCATCAAATCCCCTGGAACTGGAGTTGCACTTTGTTGTTAACTACAATGTGAGGGCTGGGAACTGAACCCAGGACCTCTTGAAGAGCAGCCAGTGCTCTTAACTCTCAAAGAGCAGCAGCCAGTTCTCTTAACTGCTGAGCCATCTCTCTAGCCACTCTAACCTTTTAGGCCACAATGAAATAGCCTTTGACTTCTTCCAAAGAGAAAGTCAACAAGTTTAGATTTCTACTGTGTCCACATCTACCCTCTGTCCATATTCTCACCCACCATATAAAGATTATTGCCAACCATCTTCAGATAACCAGATCAGTCTCCTTCAATTCCCTTCTTCCTAGATCCCCAAAACATAAGTGCCCTCAGCAATAGCCCTAATGAGAACTACCTTCGCCCAACTTACTCTCCCACTTCCAGAGGTGTGTACCCACAAACCTGACCACAGCAGCAGTCTCGCTTGCAATGTCCTTCCTGCCTTTGCACTGATTACTTGGTTGAGAACAAGTGTTACAGGAAAAAAAGGCTTAGGTTAGTAGGCAAGAAGATGCCTAGAGAACCAGCTGGCATCAAGACTAACAGTGATGGACAGTTTTGCTGTGACTGTGGCAGTGAGCCCAGAATAGGAAAGGGCTTAGTGACAAAAGGAGCCAACATTCAGAGTACTTATATGCCAGACCCCTTGCTTAGCAACTTAAGAGTATCAACTCCCTTAATACTAGCAAATCACAGCCTTAAAAGGTAAATACCAGTATCCCCATATCACATGATGAAACTGAAGCTCATAAAGTTTGACTAATTTTTTGAGTTGCAACTCAAACCCCTATCTGCCTTACCAAAGTAGCCCATTCAACTGCTACCTTATAGCACCTTCCAAAACGGGCAAGCACTGGGAAGAAACAAGCAGTGAGCTTTTATCAATCCTTCCTTCCTCTCTGGCATCATGAGAAAAAGACTACGCGAAGGAATGAAGGCCACACCCAGGTGGAAGGGTCTCCCATCACTAAGCATCATAAAGGATATTACATGTCACAGCTCTATCCACTTCATATTGAAGACTAAGCATCCCCTCCCCCCACAGTCTACACTGTACTACTCATTCAGCTCAGCCCAAAGCAACTCTTACAAAGACACAGGAACTGCACATAGCCCACAGGCTCACCAGGTCTTTTATGCAGTTCAACAGAGATGACATCAGACTAAGCAGGATGTTGCTGAGCACGGTGGGAGACATCCATAAGCCCAGCACTTGGGAAATGGAGGCAGGAAAATTAAAGGGCTCAAGGTGAGCCTCAATTACACAGAGTTCAAGGCCAGCAGGGAATACATGGGACCCTGACTCAAAACAATTTTTTTCAAGATGACAGGTGATGTTCCAGTTTGGATACCTCCGTATCCCATCCTGTATCCTGATCCAGTGGCTGCCAAAAAACAGAAGGGGTTGAATAGGGTGCTTGGTCATGGAAAACATTGCTGTGGTTGGCCCGGCAGATAAGAGGAAGGAAGGTTTCATTTCTTCACAATCTGAATGACGTCCTCATCTTCCAATGTATGGTCTTTACCCACTTTTTGAGGATTATGTTTCACAGAAAGACCCCAAACCAGAGCACTGTATGGAAAAGAAAATAGTGTCACTAACAACTACTTCTATCCTAGTTGCCTGGGTACCAACCTTGTCAGATTAGCATCCCAGCTCTTAAAAGCCACAGATCTGCAACAGACAAAAGCTCTCTCTGAGGTCAGGGGAAATACTCAAAGCCAGAAGATTAATCTTTTCCAGCAGTGCAGTACACTGGAGCTGCACATACAAGATAGCAAATTGTGGAACTGCTCTTATGCCAGAGTCAATTTAAGAGTCAAAAAATGGATTGGTGAGATGACTCAGCAGTGAGGAATGTTTGCTGTTTTTCCAGCAGACCCAAGGCTAGTTGGCTAGCAAGCTCCCAGCATCCACCTGTCTCTATCCCCCAACACTGGGGTAACAGGCAGACTGAGCCATGCCTGGCTTTTACATGGAAGCTTAGGATCTGAACTCAGGTCTTCTTTTTAAAAATATTTAATGTGTATGAGTATATTACCTGCATGTATGTCATTGCACCTATGTTGTGCAATGCCTGCAGAGGCCAGAAGAGGGAATCAGATCCCTGGAACTGGAGTTAACTGTTGGCTGGTTGTTAGCTGCCATTTGGGTACTGGGAATCAAACCTAGGTCCTTCCAAGAGCAGCCTGTGTTCTTAACAGCTAAGCCATCTCTCCAGCTCCTGAACTCAGGTCTTCTTGCTTTCACAGCAAGCAGTCTTACCCACTGAGCCTCTCCCTAGCCCCCAAAATTAATATTTGCCAAAAGGAGGGTGAATTAATGAGGGGACCCAAGTCCCACCAAGCCCTCCTGACCTGAAGAGACTTCTGGAACTCTTCTTGCTCCATCTAGGCATGGCTTTACGAAGACACTGAGAGGGGGCTGAAGAGATGGCTCAGCAGTTAAGAGTACTTGGTACTCTTATAGATAACCCAGGTTCAGTTTCCAACACACACAATAGGCAGCTCATAACCACCTGTAACTCAGCTCCAGGGGATCCAATATCCTTTTCTGGCCTCCATGGGAACCTGTATGTATGTAATGAATATCTACACTCAGGCTTAAACAAACATACATAAAAAGAATAAGTAACTCTTTTAATTAAAAAAAATAGGCCGGGCGTGGTGGTGCACGCCTTTAATCCCAGCACTTGGGAGGCAGAGGCAGGCAGATCTCCGTGAGTTCAAGGCAAGCCTGGTCTACAGAGTGTGTTCCAGGACAGCTGTGGCTACAGGGAGACCCTGTCTCAAAAAGACCGAAAAAAAAAAAAAAAAAAAAGAAACCAAAAAAAACAAACATGATACAGTTCTAACCAAGAACACCTTTCAGGAGCCTTTCTGTTACCTGGTTTCTTTAGTTCTCTAAGAATTGATGAAATCAGTAGCTCATAAAGAAAGGTAGGCACAACATGCCCATGATACTTACTATTTAAATTCTTTGATAAGATTTTTGTGAATCTTCATACAGAAATCTTCCACTGTGGTCCTGGAGTACGGCAACACCACTGGAGACGTGTAATCTGGTAACTGGCCTTTAGGTTTGGTGTATCTAGAATAGAAAGGACACAATGGTTGCTACCGTCTTACAAGTGTATGAGTTGAACATAAACCAACCTTCTGCTGCCTCTGAGGTCAGGCCAGTATAATCTTCCACCTGAGAAGAGGCCTCAATATGGCCTAGCAGTCAACAGGAACCACTTTTAAATCTACTGCCAAAAAGAACCACACTTTGTTAATAAGCCCCAGGTGCTATCATTTTAGGACAGCCTGATTTAATTCCTACACCAACACGAACCGATCCCCAAAGACTTACATTCTCACTAGCTTCAGATAGTCCCAGATCTTTTCCAACAGGTCATCAAAATTCCAGCGATGATGGGCAGAAATGGGTACACAGTGCGGCACCTTATAGATAATATCCAGTTCCTCAATGGAGATCTGATCAATCTTATTTAACACATAGATACAGGGGATATAAACTCTATAGAAATAGAAGAAAAAGTATTACTTTGGAGTTGACAAAATAGCCTGAATACCAACACTTCCTTACATAGATCCCAAATCGGAGGCTGTCAAAAGGAATCATCATGATATATTTAAAAAACGGGGACATGGGCCTGGTGGTGCAATGACTTTAATCCCAGCACTTAGGAGGCAGAGGCACACAGATATCCATGATATTGATGGCCATCCTGGTCTATACAGTAAGTTCTAGAACAACATAGTGAGGTAATGTCTCACCCCCAACACCCCAAACATAACTGTTATTTCTTCCTTTCCTTTCTGTCTCTATCTGTCTCTGTCTCTCTATCTGTCTCTCTTTCATTTTTCTGTTTTTTTGAGAGAGGGTCTCCCTGTAGCCCCAGCTGGCCTGGAACTCACTAAGGAGACCAGGCTGGCCTCGAACTCACAGAGATCTGCCTGCCTCTGCCTGAGTGCTGGGACTAAAAGGCGTGTACCACCAGCCCAACGTGACTCACACATTTTTAAGCACAGCATCTAGCAGTTATATTTCAAGTATCCAATCAATGTGACAGCAAAGATGACTAATATTACCTAGGCCATAATTTCTCAGATCTTAGGTGCCTTAGTTGTAAAATGCCTAACTCAAAGCATTTGTTTTTATGTTTTCAATTAGTCAAATTCCTCAAATAAACACAAAAGCAACTAAGAAAATTCTACCAAATTGCTAGGAATAATTCCAGCAAAGTGGCTTAAATTATTCAAGTGTTAGTAACAGTAATGCTCCATGGAATGGTGTTTCAGCCATATACTGCTAGGCTGCATAGAAGAGACACAGCCTGGCCTTCTGACTTCTGTAGAACAGCCTGTGAGATTGCTCAGTGATTAATTCTGGGAAAGCAGAGTGACCTACTCTCCTCAACCACCCCTCAACAGAGCTTAAATGGCAGCACAGCTGTTTAAGTCACAACCAATAACTGGAATGGGGAATGTGACCATAATCTGTAAGAGCAAGGGAAGATGTTAGAAATTAAGACCAACCCTTCATTTTGCAGCTAAAGAAATCAAGACCCACTATTAAGATAGTATCACAAAAGCACAACTGAAGTTAGTATCCACATCTTCCAGATTCATGATCCACTGTTTCTATTACAAATCTTCAAATTCAAACTATGGCACAAAGCACACATCTAGTACCTGTTTCCTTCTACCACGTCAATGAGGTCATCAGCTGTGGCATCACTACGCAAAGTCACATCAGCATTGTGAATTTTGTATTCAGCCAGAATGCTCTTCACAGTTTCAGCATCCAGTTCGCTCTGAGGGCACTGAATGGCAGAGTGCAAAATGACTTATCAGGGAAAGGGGGTGCCAAGAACACCTTCCAGCCGGGCGTGGTGGCACACATCTTTAATCCCAACACTCAAGATGGCAGAAGTAGGCTTGATTTCTGTGAGACCAAGGCCAGCCTGGTCTACATAGCAAGTTTCAGGTCAGCTGGAGCTATAAGGAAATCCTGTCTCAAAAACACCAAAAAAAAAAAAAAAGGGGAGGGGGGCATGAGAGATAGCTCAGCCCTTAAAGGCTAAGGCTAACAACCAAAAGAAAAAGGAGCCAGGTGTGGTGGTGCACACCTTTAGTCCCAACACTCGGGAGGCAGAGGATAGGTCTTAAGATATAGCAGCCTGGCCTCAAATTTGTTATACAGCCAAAATGACCTTGAACTTCTGATCCTCCTACAAGTGCTGATATCCCAGACATGCACTACCATGCTCCACTGATGTGGTACTGGGAACAAAACCCAAGGCTTTGGGCATGCTAGGCAAGCATGATACTAACTGAAGTACATGCCCAGCCTTGTGTCTGGAAAATTCTGGCTAAATTTTAAACTCATTACATTACTTTACATAAGAGTAACTAATTTTTCTAGCATTCTATAACTAAAATTCAAACTCTTTCAAAATTCAAAGGAAGGTATTTTTTTTCTAATTTACTTTTTGTGTATGAGTGTTTTGCCTTCATGTATGCAAGTATACCCTGTCATGCAACATCAGCGGCAGCCAGGAGAGGGTGTTGGGTCCCCTGGAACTGCAGTTATGGATGGTTGTTAGCTGCCATGTGGACACTGGTAAATGTGCTTCATTGTGTCCCTACCTCCTTTCTAGCCCGTTCACTATAATTCATACAGTGAAGTCCTGTCTTCAAGTCTCAGAATCTGACTATAATTGATGATGGCATCTTTAAGGAGATAATCAAATTAGAATTAGGTCTCATTATAGTAGAGCCCTAATCCAGGACCAACTTAACCATCACCTTGACATATCTGTTGTTTAAAGACACTTAATGTAGGGTACTTTATTACAATAGCCACAGAAAACTAATACAAAAAACCCTGAGTGCTCAAATTCAAATAGTATAACAAGATAAATGGGAAGATCTTTTTAGCATGATAGCTTAAATCTGTTAATCTGAACTCTAGAATGTTAAGTACGTCCTTCTCGGGCCTTAATTCAATAACCAAAAATGCAGCATTTGATAGAAGTAATCACTTCCTTCTATCTGAAAATTTTCTCTACTTGGCCTGCAAGGGTCTAATTTTTTCCAGATCTCCTTTGCCCTCTTTGCAATCTCTCTTCTATTTATTCTCACTTCCTTAGTGTTATCAGCTAGGCTCCTCCTGGCTTTAAAGTTGATAAATCCAAACTTACTCTATATCATGCCTCACAGGCATTCCTAAGAGGCATTCCTAGGAGAAGCATTTGGATATCTAATCAGCATCTCAAATCCACCATCCTGATCTTAATCCCAGCACTCGGGAGACAGAAGCAGGTGGATCTCTATGAGATGGAAGCCATCCTACTCTACAGAGTGAGTTCCATTCCAGCTCAGGTTACAGGGAGAACCTGTCTCAAAAAGACCAAAAAAAAAAAAAAAAAAAAAAAAAACTACTTCACCAAAGAACTACCATTATGTAATGAAAAAATAAAAGTTCATTTATCAAGTTCAGGACAAAAAAATTCATAATCTCTTGACTTTCTCACAATGAAGCTATAATTGCCACCAGCCACTTGAAGAATCTTCCACATCATTCACTTCTTATCCCCTTCAACTGTTACAAGCCTGCTTTAAGAAGTTATCAGGACACCAAAGAACTACCATTATGTAATGAAAAAATAAAAGTTCATTTATCAAGTTCAGGACAAAAAAATTCATAATCTCTTGACTTTCTCACAATGAAGCTATAATTGCCACCAGCCACTTGAAGAATCTTCCACATCATTCACTTCTTATCCCCTTCAACTGTTACAAGCCTGCTTTAAGAAGTTATCAGGACAACTGGACAGATGGCTCAGCTGGTAAAAGTTCTTGCTGCCCAGGCTGATGGTCTGAGTTCAATCCCTGGTACTCACATGGTGGAAAGAGAAAACTCACTTCTGAAAATTGTCCTCTGACCCTCACATGACTGTCTAGGCAAGTACTCTCCCCTGCCCCCAACAATAAAATAGAAAAGAAGTAATTTAAGTCACGGGGGCTGGAGAGATGACGCAAGAGTTAAGAATCTAATACACTGTAATTTACTCATTAATTCTACTCGTTAGTTTATCCAAGAATGAAGGTTCCTGACTAATTTGTGCCCTCTTCTATACCCTCTTCCTCTTGCTATCACCTAGCAATAAAATAATACCTGGCCTCTGGTAGTACTTTATAAATTCATGTTAAATAAATGACAGAACAGGATATTGGCAACTATTTCATGGTAAGCTTGTCCAAAAGGCCTAGTCTACCCTAAGTAAAAAAATCCAAACGAGGAAATAAAACTGTTAAGGTAAATCTGAGAATAACTCCTGTCCTAACCTTGAAGTTTTTCTTAACAGTCATTACAAGGTCACTGAATTCTCTCCATCAAGGCAGGAAACTTCGGAAAATTTCCAAATTGCCCATTTCTGCACACCTCAATCCACTCTCCACTGCAATCCCTTCAGTCAGTAGTGTGTCCCAGTAGGTGTTCCCCACTTACAGTGGCTGTCAGATTAATGCCGCCCTTGTCTTTCTTCTTAAAGCCAATGTTGGGGGGTTTGCTGTTCAAGCGAATGCCAAATCCTTCCAACTCATTTTCAATTATTTTCTTATGCCCCAAGGGTTTCAGGACATCTAGAACAATCAAGATCAAATTGCATGTTCGGGCCACTGAAAGAAAAAAAAATTATACTCTAAGTTAAATACATGCAGCCTTAACTAACCCCAAAACTTTGTATATATACACACAAGAAACTGTTAAAGTTACCAGAGATTTATACTAGATATCAATTTGGAGTATATGCCTTCAAGTCATTAAATATTCACCCAGAAACTGGCCTATCTTCTACACGTAAGAAAGTCAAAATGAAGACATAAGCAAAGCAACGTAGCATAGGCCTATAATCCCAGCACGCTAGAGGCAGAGGCAGGTAGATTTCTTTGAGTCTGAGGACAGCCTGGTCTACATAGCAAGTTCTAGGACAGCCAGGGCTACATAATAAGATCCTGTCTCAAAAAAAAGTTTATATAAACCATAAAACAAACAACAGCCTAAATTCCCAAAAAAATCTTAGATTTTCTAAGAATTAGATTATTTGATTAACATACTTTTAATCAATTTTATCAAATTTAATTTACAAACAAATTTTAGCTATGTTTTACATAGGATGTACTGTTGGATAATCACAACAGTAGTCAAGATACAGAACATGTTGGGCGCAGCCCAAACTTGCAATCCCAACATGGAAGAGGGTCAGGACATCCTCAGCTGCCACAGCAAGTTCAAGGTCAACTGGGCTATGTGGGAACCTGTGTCAAAAAATAAATAAAATATATGGAATGCTCCCATCACCTCTCAGTGTTCTGCTGTACCACTTTCTGATCACTCTTCCCCTCATTCTTTCCCAATCATTTATCTGCCATCACCAGAGTTTGTATTTTTTAGACTACATAAATGGAATCAAATAAAATGTAATCTACTTTGCTTAAATTTTTTATTCTAGCATTTAAAAAAATATTCAACCAGGGGCTGGAGAGATGGCTCAGAGGTTAAGAACACTGGTTGTTTTTGCAGAAGACCTGGGTTCGAATCCCATCACCCACATGGCAGCCTACAACTGTCTGTAACTCCAGTCCCACGGGATCCAACAGCCTCTTCTGTCCTCCATGGGCATTGCATAACACGGGTGCACTTACCTACATGCAGGCAATACACACATACACATAAAATAAAAATAATAAAATTTAAAAAAATATGTATTCAACCATATTGCACGTTATCATAACATCTCTTAAAATTTTATTTTATGTGAGTATACCATGTGCACAATGCCTGGGGAGGCTAGAAGAGGGTGTTAGACCCCCTGGAACTAGAGTTAAGGACAGTTGTTAGCAGCCATGTGGGTACTGGGAACTGAACCTGGGTCCTCTGGAAGAATAGTCAGTGCCCCTAACCACTGAACCATTTGCAGGTATGACTTATAAATCTGCTACAGTCATGTACAAGTCTTTATGTGGACAGGTTTTTACTTGTCCTAAGTAAACCCAGTGAAACTGTTATACCCTATCATAGGCATAGGTTATCAGAAACTTTTGAACAGTTGTCCAAGTGTTTACATAAGTTTATACTCCCAACAACAATGTATAAAAACTTCCAGCTTGGAGCTGGAGAGATAGCTCAGTGGTTAAGAGCACTGGCCACTCTTGCAGAGGACATGGGTTTGGTTCCAAAAACCCATATGGCAGCTAAAAATTGCCTGCTACTCCAATTCCAGGGGATCTGATGCCCTCTTCTGGTCTCCATGGGCATTGTACAACATGGGTGCACTTACATGCACATAGGTAAAACATTCATACGTATAAAAATAAATAAATAAAAATAAAAAACAATAGAGGGGCTGGAGAGATGGCTCAGTGGTTAAGAACACTTCTTACAGAAGACCCAGGTTCAAATCACAGCATCCATATGGTAGCTAATAACTGTCCATAACTCCAGTTCCAGGGAATCTGATGTCTTTGTCTGTCCTCCACAGGCACTGCATGACATACATACAATGCATGCATAACACACATATGCACAAAATAAAATTTTTAAAAATTGGGAAGGAAAAAAAAAAAAACCCTCTTCAAGACTGAAGATGTTAATTCAGAAGGGAAAATATTTGTACAAGGACCTGAGTTTGACCTCAAAAACACATGTAAAAAAGTTAGGCATGCTGGGCATGGTGGCATTGCCTTTGCCTTTAATCCCAGCACTCAGAAGGCAGAGGCAGGAGGATCTCTGTGAGTTCAAGGCCAGTCTGGTCTACATAGTGAGTTCCAGGCCAGCTGGGGCTAAAAAAAAAAAAAAAAAAAGGCTGAACATGATGGTAAGCATTTGTATACCCACTGCTGGGAAAGCAGAGATAGGTAGATCCTTGGAGCTCAAGGGTCAGCCTAGCCTACTTGGTGATTTCCAAGTAAGAGAGACTGTCTCAGAAAAACAAACAAAAAGGTCCAGTGATATGGCCTCAGTGAGTAAAAGCACTTGAAGCCAAGCCTGAAGTTCTGAGTTCAATTTCCAAAAACCCAAATGGTAGAAAAGTCAACTGACACCTGTAAGTTGTCCTCTGACTTCCATACACCTGCTGTGACAACATGCATGCATGTGTGCATATACCCACACACAAAATAAATGTTTAATAAAAAATATTTAAATAAGTGATGTTAGCAAGACGGGTCACTGGGAAAAGTAACTTGCCACAAACTCTGTGACCCAAGTTTCATTCCCAGTACCAACATGATAAAATGAGAGAACACTGACTCTCATACATATGTGCACGTGTATATGTGTACGTACACAGCAATACACATATACACACAAAAGAAAACCTTCAAAAGCACAGAACAAGGGGGCTACGGATATAATTCAGTGGCAGAATATTTAACTAGAATGCGCAAGGTACTAGGTCAGTTCTCAGCACCAAAGGAAAAAAAAAGGGAGGGAGGGAGGAAGAAAAAGAAGACAAAAAAGATAAATTAGAATCTATCAAAATTAAGGATTTCTACTAAACAAAGATCACACTGAACAATACTGAAGATAAAGATGACATTTGCAATGTCCCAAACTTGGAGAGAATAACTAGAGCAGTGGTGTTCAACAGAATTATCTGTGATAGCCCCATCTGGTGGCCCTGGACCACTCACCTGCAATGACTTGACGACCTCTACCTTTTCCATCCTTTGCACCTTCAATAATACCTGGGAGATCCAGGAGCTGCAAGATTAGGGACAAGGAAAAGAAAGAACAACCAGCTATAAACTTGAACAGACCAAAGAGAGTAACAAATTTCTTCTCTAGCATTCAAAAAATTTTAAATATTTTATTTTTATGTGTATGAGTGTACTGCCTGTATGTGTGTAAGTGCACTTGTGTCATGCAATACCCACGAAGGTCAGAAGAGGAACTGTGGCCTAAGACTCACAGAGATCCACCTGCCTCTGCCTCCCAAGTGCTGGTGAAATTCTATCCTTACTTCAAGACACTCCTCCAAGCCAGGGGTGGTGACACACACCTGTAATCCCAGCATGCCAAAGGACAAGCTGAACAGTGTTGACTGCTTAACAAGACCCTTTCACAAAAAAGACTCACCATCACTTTGTGCCATATCCCAGCACTCATGAGGCAGAGACAGGTGGATCCCTATGAGTCTGAGGCCAGCCTGATCTACAAGGCAAGCCCAGGCTATCCGGGGCTACAGGGAGACCCTGTCTCAAAAAAATATATAAAATAAAATAAAAAATAAAAAAGGGGCTGGGGAGATGGCTCAGCAGTTAAAAGCACTGACTGCTCTTGCAGAGGACCCGGGTTCGATTCCCAGCATCCACATGGCAGCTATGAACCATCCTTAACTCCAGTTCCAGGGGAATCCAACACTTTTTTCTGACCTCCATGGCACTGCACGACACGAGTTCACTCACATACATGCAGGCAATACACTCATACACATAAAATAAAAATATAAATAAAATATTTAAAAATAAAAAATAAAGAACTAAACAAAAAACACTGTCACTTTGTACAAAATGCCTTCTTTTTCTCATCAGATCTTTTTCCCTCATTATCAGATGAAAAAGTAGGAACTTCTTGCACCACTTGGCCATCCGGATATCTTGTCCCTTCTATCTCCGTATTTTCACTGGCTTTATTCCATTGCATTTATCACTGAACTATTTAATAAAGCAAGTATTAAGAGGTGAGGGGCCTAGCAGATCAAAGAACAGACCTGGAAGACCATGGGTTACTAATGAAGTGCTTCTGAAATGAACAAAAACAATGGATTTCTTCCCTTCCTCTGCATGCTGTGCTGAATAGCTTTGTTGTCAACTTGACACACCTTGACAGAGGGAGCCTCAACTGGGGAATTTCCTCCATTGGACTGGCCTGTGGCCATGTCTATGTGCTATTTTCTTAATTTTTGAGTGAGATGGAAGGGCCCAGCCCACCATTGGTGGTGCCACCCCTGGGTAGGTGGTCCCATGTTATAAAAGAAAGCAGGCTGAGCACAGGCCAGAGGAGCAAGTCAGTAAGCAGCTTATGCTCCATGGTTTGTGTTCCAGGTGCCTGCCCTGAGTTCCTTGGCTTCCCTTAATGATGGACTGTACTTGTAAGCCAAATAAACCCTTTCCTCCCCTAGTTGGTTTTGGTCAGTGTTTTAATCACAGAAATTGAAGGCAAACTACAACACCTGTTAATCTTACCTGGATCTTGGCACCTTTGTATCTGATGACACCAGGCACAGTGGTCAAAGTAGTGAATTCATAGGCTGCCACCTCAGAATACACCCCTGCCAGGTTACTTAGCAGTGTTGACTTCCCCACAGACGGAAAACCCACAAACCCAATTCGAGCATCGCCTGTCTTGGCCACATCAAAACCTAAAACATCAATAAACATCAAAAAGAGAGGCATTATCTCTGGGTATATTACAGCTCACCTAATTCCATTTTCATTTCTATTTCCAACTTTCTGTGGTTTACTTCTAACAGAACTCAAGTACACAGAATTCCCTTTATACAAATCCACAACATCCAATACAGTAAAAACACTGTATTTCGGGACTGGAGAGATGGTTCAGTAGTTAATAGCACTATCTGCTCTAGAGAGGACCTGGGTTCAGTTTCCAGCACCTACACGGCAGCACACAACCAGCCAGTCCCAGGGGATTTGAAACACTATTCTAATTTCCCCAGGTATTATATAACATGGGTGCACTTACATACATGCAGCAAAAACATTCATAAAGTTAAAATATTTAATTTAAAAAATTTATGAAAGCTGGGCATAGTGGCGCATGCCTTTAATCCCAGCACTTGGGAGGTAGAGGCCAGTGGATCTTTGTGAGTTCAAGGCCAGCCTGGAACAGTGAGTTCCAGGACAGCTCAGGCTACAGGGAGACCCTGCTTCAAAAAGCCAAAAAAATAAATAAATAAATAATGTACCACTTAAATTATAACTTTTAAAAATGTTTAAGGCTCAAATATTACAAAATAATTGATGTAAAAAATAATAGGGGTTAGCTAGGTATGGTAGTACATGGTGCCATCCTAGAACTTGGGAGACAAAATCAAATCAGAAGTTTAGGGCCAGCTTGAACTATGTAAGATCCTCCAAAAAAGAAAGAAAAAAGAAAACATAAAAAGAGGGGTATAGCTGGGTGTGATGGCGCACACCTTTAATCCCAGCACTTGGGAGGCAGAGGCAGGAGGATCTCTGTGAGTTCAAGGCCAGCCTGGTCTACATAGTAAGTTCTAGGACAACTGGGGCTACAGGGAGACCCTGTCTCAAAAAGACCAGGAAAAAAAAAAAAAAAAGCTATAAATAGGGGCTGGAGAGATGGTTCAGTAGTTAAGATCACAGAATGTTCTTACAGAAAAGGCAGGTTTGAATCCCAGCACCCACATGGCACCTAACAACTTTCCATAACTCCAGTTCCAGGGGGTCTGACACCTTCTTCCGACCTCCATGGGCATTGCACGACATGGGTGCACTTCCATACATGCAGGCAATACACATACACATAAAATAAAAACAATTAAAAAAAAAGATATAAATAAAACTACTGTTCACTTAGACAACTTAGCAAACTAAAAAACACAATTCAAGATTACAGGCTTAGGTGCTAGGGATATAGCTCAGTGGTAGAGTACTTGCCCAGCAGGCACAAGGTCCCTGGGTTAAAGTCTCAGTACTGCAAGAATATCTAAATAAGGGCTGGAGTGGTTAAGAACATTGGTTGTTCTTGCAGAAGAACCGGGTTCGAATCCAGCACCCACATGGCAGCTAACAAGCGTCAATAACTCCAGATCCAGGGGATCCCACAGCCTCTCCTGTCTTCCCGGGCATTGCACTTACCTACACGCAGGCAATACACACATACACATAAAATAAAAATAATAAAATATTTCAAAAAAAGAATATCGAAATAAAATTTCAGGTTTAGGGGTTAGGGACCCAGTGGTAGAACATCTGCCTAGTATGTATGAGGTCCTGGATTTGATCGCCAGCTCCACCAAAAAATAATAAATTTAGGCCTAAAAGATGAAGATCTACTTTGATAGAAAACAATTACGGGGCTGGGAGATAGCTCAGCAGTTAAGAGCACTGGATGCTCTTGCAGAAGACCTGGGTTCAAAGCCTAGCACCCACATGGCAGCTAACTGTTCATAACTCCAGTTCCAGGGATCCAATGCCCTCTTTTGTCCTCTGTAGGCATTGGTAAAAAAAAATTTTTTTTTAAATTACTTTTAAACTATCTGTTTGGAGCCAGGTGTAGTAGCTCATGCCTATAATCCCTGTTTTGGAGGCTGAAACAGGAGGACTGCTGAGAGTTTGAGATTAACCTGGGTTACTTAGTGAATTCCAGGGTAGCCTGGGCTTACAGACTGAGATACTGTTTCAAGAAAAGAATTAAATAGCTGGGCGTGGTGGCGCATGCCTTTAATTCCAGCACTTGGGAGGCAGAGGCAGGTGGATCTCTGGGAGATCAAGGCCAGCCTGGTCTACATAGTGAGTTCCAGGACAGCTGGGGCTACAGGGAGACTCTGCCTCAAAAAAAAGTTAAAAAAAGAATTAAATATTAGGCTCAGTGTGTAAAGGTGCTCACAGGTCTGACTTGAGTTTGATCCTCAGAACCCACATGGTGGAAGGAGGTCATCAATTCCTACAAATTGTCCTCTGACCTCTGTATCTGTACCGTGCTGTGCATGAGCACATCATAATTAACTAATTTTAAAAACAGGGCCAGAGTGGTGGCAAAAACCTTTAATCCCAGCACTTGAGCGGCAAACGCAGGCAGATCTCTAAAAGGCCATATATAGCAAGTTCCAAGAATGCCAGAACTACGAAAGATTGTCAAAGAAAAGCTGGGGAGGGGTGCTAGGGAGATGGCTCAATTGTCAAAGTACTTGCCACTCAAGCATGAGGACCTGAGTTCAGATGCCCAGCATCCATGTAAAAGGCAACAGCCACACACACCTGTAATCCCAGGGAAGGCAGACACAGGTTGATTCCTATAGCTCACTGGCTAGCCAGTTAGTTTATCCAGGATCAATGACAGACCTTATCGCATAAAAAAATTAAAATGAAACAAGGTGGAGAGCCAGGCCTGGTGGTGCATACCCTTAATCCCAGCACTCAGGAGGCAAAGGGAGGCGAATCTCTGTGAGTTCAAGGCCAGCCTGGTCTACATAGTGAGTTCCATCCAGCTGGGGCTACAGAGAGACCCCGTCTCAAAAAAAAAAAAAAAAGTAAGGTGGAGAATGACAGCTGTCTACCTTTGGCCTCCACAGGCAGGCATGCATGTATAAGCTAAGGCACTTAAATCACACTCACAGGAATATACATATATACCATACACATCCATATAAACTCCAAGTTTGTATTTAATAGAAACAATACCAAAAAATATAAAGAACCACAAACCTTCTCCTGGCCCACCACCACCACCACCTTTTGGAGTAATGAGCTCTCTTCGAAGTTTAGCAAGGCGAGCCTTAAGCAGCCCAAGGTGATGTGCTGTAGCCTTGTTCTTCTGTGTCCGAGCCATCTATAAAAGAGGAATGAAGCCATCAATCAGCAGGAGTTCCCACAAGGTAAAACAACCTGAGTGTTCCCAACAGCTCTAAATATGTCATGTTCTGTTGTTTTCCTAGGTCCTACTAATGTCAGTGTACCTATTTCTTTTTTTTTTTTTTTTTTTTTTTTTTTTTGACAGGGTCTCCCTATAGCCCGAGCTGTCCTGGAACTCGCTATGTAGACCAGGCTGGACTTGAACTCACAGAGATCCGCCTGCCTCTGCCTCCCAAGTGCTGGGATTAAAGGCGTGCGCCACCACGGCCAGCTATTTTAAATATTTTTAAAAAATAAAAATCCACAAAATTTCAATAAAAAAATAAAAGCCCAGGGCCGAGGTCAGACATGCTGGCCCACATCTTTAATCCCTGTGCTCAGGAGGCAGAGGCAGGTGAAGCTCTATGAATTTGAGGCCAGCCTGGTCTACACAGAGAGTTCCAGGCTAGCCAGGGCTACCCAGTGAGACCCTGTCTCAAACAAACAAACAAACGCACATCCAGGGCCAGAGTGATGGCTCCGGGAGTAAAGGCACATTCACTATGGATGATGACCTGAGTTCAATCAAGGGAACCCCATATGGCAGAAGAAAAACTGCAGAAAGTTGTACTCTGACCTCCACACTCCTGCTGTGGCACCGTGTGTCCACTTGTGCATACACGTACACGCACATGCCATTTTTAAAAAATTTAAATCCACTCTCCCACCACCCACCTCATTTCCCTGACTACATTAAAAGCAAATGGGGCCCGAAGTGTCAAGATCAAAGTCATTCTAATTCCTATCCACAGATGGAAGTAAGATCCATCTGCTGCCTCGTTTCTTCTGTCGTACCCGGTGTGTCCAATCCGAAACCAGCTCACCACTATTCTGACTTGGAGAAGCTCTGAACTTCTCAGGCAACACTATCCGGGTGGAATCAACTACAACCAAACTGACGTCTATTTACTTCTAAATTTTACTGCCAGAATCAACAACGTGCGAAGAGCGGGGGAGGGCGAAGAATGAGCTTCAAATACGTGATCAGGTCAGGGTCGCGTAGGGACCAGCAGTCGGGGTCTCTGAACACCGGAGGGTACGGGCTGGGGCATAGGCAGAGCAGGGAGCGGAAGGCCCGGGAACAGTCCCCAGCCGAGCCGGGCGACGAGCGAACGTGTGCAGCCAACCTCCGGCCGCGGGGAGACGGGAGTCCCCGGCCAGAGGCCCGAAGGAAACAAGCGTGGCCGCCCCCATTACCTCGGCTTCGATCTCCGCGATTTTCGCTAACGTGCCGCTCATGGTGGCATAGAACCCAGCGCGTACCGGCCAGCACACGGACTTAACGCCTCTCCCACGCCAGCTACTCTACCAGCAACCTCCCCGCCCCCGACCCTTCCAGGCACCGCCTCGGTGCGCAGGCGCAGGACTTCCTAACTCTCGCGATAGAGTTCCACGAGAGGTCGACTGGGCTCCTCTTCCTCAGCCGACCCCTCCCCGTCCCGCGAGCCAGTGCGGTGTCATAGAGCCCTAGGATCCCCGGCCAGAGAGGCAGCTTGGGTCCGGCCTCCCAGAGCGCGCCGAGGGTCGCGCGCAGCTCGGCCCCACCCGGCAGGACCTGCGCGGCGCCGGGGCCTGGGCTCCGTGTGGGTGGTCAGAGCCCCAGGCCTGAGCCGCAGAGCGCATGCCCTGGTCTTCACAGCGCTCCGGGCCCCTTTTCACATCTGGGGAGACACCCCAGTGACCTCCTTGGCTTCCTGAGTGGGCGAGAGACCGACCGTTGGCCTCTCCTCTTCTTGAAAAAAATTTCCGGCACTTCAAACAGCTTTTGCCGGATCTTTTGTTTACCAGGAACCCCAAGTAGAGCGCGTGGCACACGGTGAGCCACAATTAATGAGTGGATTGAACGAGAATGCCCGGAGAACTGTATTGCAACAGCTGCAATGTTGAAAAATTGGAAATTATGTGAACACTCATTATTAGGGAATAGATGAATAAGTAACACCTCTTCCCTGTGAGATAAGATTACAGCCATTGAAATGTGCACCTGTGGTCTGACTGCCCTATCAAGGACTGGTTAAAAGAACAAACAGAACACCTCTGTAGTCATACAATTCACGCTGTTTTTTGAGAAGTGCATTTATAGGGCATAGGTATATAGGTATATATTCACTGACGTTTTGTAGCGCTGGGGTTGGAACCGAGGGTCTCAAACATTCAAAGCAAGCACTGTACCACATACCAGACCAGAAAGCATATTCTTGGAAGAGCTAAATAAAAGAATGACTCCCAAAGCAGAAAGTATTTCCTCTAATCCCAGCGACTCAAGAAATTAAGTCGGGAGGATCCCTTTGATCCAGGAGTTGAACCAACCTGGAAAAAAAAAGTCACAGCCTAAATTTTCAATCTCCTATTAGTTGCATGAGATGGAAGAAAATAGGAAACCGTTCACTTTTTATTCTTTCTTTTTTTTTTTGGTCATTTTGAGACAGGGTCTCCCTGTAGCCCCAGCTGTCCTGGAACTCATTATGTAGACTAGGCTGGCCTCGAACTCACAAAGATCCGCCTGCCTCAGCCCCCCAAGTGCTGGGATTAAAGGTGTGTCACCAGGCCCGGGTTCTTTTTTTAATATTTTCTTTGAGCTTATTGTTTGGTTCTACTTTTATTTTTTGGTCTTTTGGGGACAGGGTCTCCCTGTAGCCCCAGCTGTCCTTGGAATTACTATGGAGACCAGGCTGGCCTCGAACTCAGAGATCCGCCTGCCTCTACCTCCCGAGTGCTGGGCTTAAAGGTGTGCACCACCATGACTAGCCTTCTTTGGTTCTATTTTAAATTTTTTTTTATCATTACATTTTTAATTGTGTGTGTGAGAGGTCAGAGGACAGCATTTGGAATGGGTTGTCTTATTCCATTATGTGGGTCCCAGGGATCCAACTCAAGTTATCAGCCTTGGCATAAAGCACCTTTAACCACTGAGCCATCTCACTGCCCACCCCCCACCACCACCTTTAATCCAAGCACTAAAGAGACAGAAGCAAGCAGATCTCTATGAGTTCAAGACCAGCCTGGTCAAAGTAGCCAGTTCCAGGGCAGCTGGGGCTACAGGGAGACCCTCCAAAAAAAACAAATAAAAGACATCTCTTGGGGCTGGAGAGATGACTCAGCAGTTAAGAGCACTGACTGTTCTTGCAGAGGACCTGAGTTCGATTCCCAGTACCCACATGGTGGCTACAAACCATCCTTAACTCCAGTTCCAGGGGAATCTGAAACCCTCTTCTGACCTCCACAGCATTGCACGACCGGGTGCACTCGCATGCAGGTAATACACTCATACACATAAAAATAATAGATATTTTAAATAAATTTAAAAAATTAAAAAAGACATCTCTTCCTCAAACATCTTAGGGCAAGGAAGCCAGCATGCACAGGATCTGGGTGCTGGTTTTGAAAGCAGCTTTCTCTGTATCAATGAGTTCTTGTTAATAGGTCCATTGGGAGTGGACCAACCAAGCTTAGCCCATACCGATGGACTCTACCCAGCCCAGGGAGGGAAGTTTATTTAGGTTTGTAAATAAGATAGTCTGACTTGCCAGAGACAGCTAAGTTTTATCTGACATAGGGAGGGGAAAGGGAAAAGAAAGCTTTTATAGAAAGTTCCCAAAGGACACAGGAGTTTGCTGCTTTTCTTTAACCTCAGCCTTTTCATAAATAAATTAAGGGATAATTAAGTAATTTGATCATGCACCATTAGTAGTGGAGGAGGGAAGAGAAGGCAAGGAAGTCCAGCTGGAATGGGGATATGATCAAAGATAAGTCTTAGATAAAATCAAATGAGCAGCCCTTTCCTAACTTGGAGTGCTTGTGGAATTAATTGGCCAACAATATCAAGGCATCACCACCCTGGAAGTAGGATTCTCCTTAACAAATCTGTCACATGAGGCCTGCAGCTAAGTTAACCATTTTGTTACTCAAAGACACCGGGAACACAGTAAAGTGCCAAAGGATAATACACACCTTTAGCATGTTGGGTAGCCATCATGTTCATTCAGTAATCATTTACTGAGCTCTGATGGTGCCTGGCACTGTGACAGTTCTGGGGACAGAGTAGAGTGTGAATCAGATACCATCCCTAATGTATCAGGAGGCAAGTCTAGGCTCTTGAACTCAGCTCTTTAGAACCAGAACCCATGTCCACTCAGTACCTGCTGCAACCTGAGAGGGCAGTATTGCCACAATAAATCACTGAAGCCAAGTGTGGTGGCTGTAATCCCAGCACTACAGAGACTGAGGCAGGTGTACACTGAGGCCAGCTTGGGCTACAAAGAGTCCCAGGCCAGCCTCAAAATTCTGTCTCAAATAAGTAAATAAACCACTCGTGCCAAAATGTGGTGGTGACACACACCTATAATTCCAGCACTTGGGAGGTGGAGGTGGAAAAATCAGGAGTTCAAGACCAACCTGGGCTATATGAGACTCCTATCTTTTAAAAAAAAAAAAACGTAATTAAACAAGCAAATCTAAACCTCATCTCTTTGCCAGGAGATTCCAGCCATTCTGAACTAAGTGCATGCTTTCACGTGTACAGGCTTTCTCTAGTACTTATTCTTTGGCTTGGCTTGAGGTTTGTTTTGCTGCAACAAGGTCTCATGAAGCCCAGTTATACTACTTGTTTTTGGACTCAACAAACTTCTCTGAGTATGACCTTTCATCATCCCTGTTTGGTTACCTCTTCCTAGTTTACTATCCCTTATAATCTCTGAAAAGCATTCCTAGGGAGTCAAGGCTGGGTAGGAGCTTTATCTCCGGCTTCCCCAAAGGCAAGTCCTTTTTTTCCTTTTTTCCTTTTTTTAAATTTTTATTTGACGTGTATGAGTATTGTCCCCGCACATATGTAAATGCACCACGTGTGTGCAATGCCTGCAGAGACTGAAAGAGGGCATCAAATCCCTGGAACTGGAGTTACAGGCAGTTGTTAACTACCTTGTGGGTGTGGGAACTGAGCCCAGGTCCTCTGCAAGAGCAGCCAGTGCTCTTAACACTGAACAATTTCTCCAGCCCTTTTCTTTATTTCCTTTTTTTAAATTTTACTTACCTCTCTGTGTGCGTCTGTGTGTGTGTGTCTCCCTTGCACGCACACACACACACACACACACACACACACACACACACACCCCACACAAGAATGAGGGCATGTGTGTGCCAAGGGACTCTTGTGGAGGTCAGAGAACAGTTTGGTTCTCTCTTTCCACGGAAGGAATCCAAGTATGGAATTCAGGTTGTCAGGGTTAAGCAGAAAGTGCTTTTAACCATTTCACCAACACCCCTGCCTTTTTCTTTTTGGTAAGACAGGGTTTCTTGTAGCCCAGGCAAGCCTTGAACTCAGTATGTAGCAGTAAATGACCTTGAACCTCTATTCCTCTGCCCCCACCTCCAGAGTGCTGGGATAATGGGCATGTGCCACCATGTTTGCTTTTATATGATACTATAATTGAACCCAGGGCTTTGTGCCTGGTAGGCAAGCAACTGTACCCTGCTGTTTGCGTTTTTCAGCATCTTCCTACATAACTTAGGTTCTTGAACTCACCATCCTCCTGCCTCTATTTCCTGAGCACTGGGAATGCAGAAGACCCAGATTCAGTTTCCAGCACCCACATGGCAGCTAACATCCTCTTCTATCCTCTGCAGGCCTTGCATGACATGGGTGCACTTACATGCAGGCAGAACACTTATACACATAAAAATAAATAAAAAATTTTAAATAAAAATTTTTTTAAATTTGCCATCTGGAGAGACGGCTCAGCAGTTTAGAAGACTGACTGCTCTTGCAGAGGACCCGGTTCAATTCCCAGCATCCACATGGCAGCCAGCAACTGTCTGTAACTTCAGTTCCAGGAGATCTGACACCCTCCTCTTACCTCTGTAGGCATTGTATGACATGGGTGCACTTACATACATGCAGGCATAACACTCATACACATAAGATAAAAAATAATAAAATGTTAAAAAAAATTTTTGTCAGGTGTGATGGCACATGCCTTTAGTCCCAGCCCTCGGGAGGCAGAGGCAGGCAGATATCTGTGAGTTCAAGGCCAGTCTGGTCTACATAGTGAGTTCCAGGTTGGCCAGGGCTGTAAGGAGCCCCTGTCTCAAAAAGAAAAAAAAAAAAAAAAAAATTATGAGGCCAGCTAAATGTCTCAGCAGGTAAAGGTACATGCTGCCTGACAACCTGAGTTCAGTCCTCAGAACCCACATAAAGGTGGAAGGAAAGAACTAGCTGCATAAAGTTATCCTCTGACCTCAGGCAAGTCATGACATGTATACCACATACATAATACATAATAATAAATAATATTTTTTTTAAAAATTTAAGCAGAAGAGGCTTTTTCTTTCTTTTTTAGATTTTTTGAGACAGGGTATC